GTGATAAAACCAAGGTTCTCCTCATTGGCACCAGATCCACCCTCAGTAACACTCCAAGCTTCACCATCCCCGGCGACAACTCCTCTGTTTCCCCCTCCCCTCAGGTCAAGAGTCGGGGTGTCGTCCTTGACAGCGCTCTGTCATTTCAAACTCACATTAATTGCATAACCCGGTCAGCCTACTTCCATCTTCGAAACATCAATCGCCTCCATTCGTCACTTACCCCCAACAGCACCGCCATCCTGGTCCATACAATGGTTACATCCCGCATCTCCCTTCTCATTGGTCCTCTCATAAGTCTATCCTGTTTTCCGCCAACTTCACTGGCTTCCAATCAATTACCGCTTAGACTACAAAATTCTGCTCCACACATTTAAGGTCATCCACAACCTCGCCCCTCCATACCTCTCTGAACTCCTCCACATCAACACTCCCACCCGGACTCTCAGGCCACTCAACCAAAACGCCACTCTATAGCCACAAATAATGCTCAGAACAGCACCTAACTTCATCAACAGGACATATAGGGTCTCAGCCATAGTACTAGCCACCAAACATCTCTTTAGCTTTGCCTCATTTCTTTAGCAAAGAGACCAAACACAACTCACCCACTCTCTTCCAGCAGCCACTTGTTTGTGGGGGAGCCCTGGCGAGTCGATCACCGAGTGCAGCGGAGTTTCGCAGCTCAAGGAAGAACATTTATGATCATTACTTCATGGAAATACAATCAAAGTTCTTGTGTATCTTATACGTGTACTGAAGACAAGGTAGTTCTGTTGCGTCTCAGTCTGTTTGCATTTCCATGACGTAATAAAAATAAATGTTCCACTACACTTGGTAATCGCCTTGTCAGGTGTGGATTACTATCGTGCGGTCGTTGCTGGAGTTGGTTTAACTAGAGAAGCAAGCGGTCGGCAACATTCATCTCTGGAGAGGGTGTCTAACTCAGTGTTATGGGGTGTTTGACCCTAAATTAATTTTACACCGGAATATCCCTTTAAAACTTAAAACTCTAGATGTAGATTTGGAGCGGTAACAGCACTGATATGAGGTCATGTATTGATCACATGATGGAAGTTCCTCACACTTATTTTAAACACAAACTTCAAACAACTCATGTAAATATGAATTTAGTAGTTTAGTCATGATTTCCCCAAGCAAACGGGGACGGATCAAATAACCAGTTGCGCAGATTTCTAATAATCCTTTAGTTAGGATTCAGTCTGGGGTGGATTTAAACACGGGAACCAGACCCAAGAAAAGAGGGAAACCCTGGAGGTGTAGAAATAACAGAAATTAATATGGCAGCAAAAAACGAGCCGGGGAGCTGATGCTAATGTGGGAGCCAGTTCAGTTCAGAGATACGAGGCAAAGAGCCAGACAAAGCTAACAGTGAACAGCAGGGACAGTTTGGCTGAGGGAGTGGGGGACTCCACCAGCCGGTGTTTGACATCTACAGAGGACATTTACTGCCTGTATAAAGATGATTCCTGCCTCTATTTGGGACGATTGTCACATGTGTGAACTCTGTGGTGAGAAAAACAGATTTCATTTTAACTGTTTTCTGCTTGAAGGGAATTATATCCAAGTCAAATTGCTCAACCTTCACAGCAAGCCTCATCAAATGAATCTGTTTATTTGAACAATACTTGGAAATGTGAAACAGTACAGATCACCACTCTGCCCCCCTACCATGTGTCTCTGAGAGGGTTTTAGGCAAGCGACATTAACACCAGTCCCAATAATCCTTGACACTGAAATTTGACTGTGCTCTTTGATCAGGGCTGACTCCTGCTGGGCTTTTCCTCCCACATCAGAGCCGAGTTCTCCGCAGAAATCCAGCGCTTGACAAGAATGTATCATATTGTACACGACTCCGAACCATCCTGAGCTTGTCTGAACTTACAAACAGAATTTCAACTTTGATCACCCTGCAGCTGAACCGACCCACGGCTTGGAAACTCAGTTTTCTCGTAGTTAGAAGAGGCTTGATGGAGCTTAACCCACCAGCTGCATCTTCAGGATGCTGCAATGCGAGAGCAATTTTTCAGCAGGGCTGCTGTGTCGATGAGTAAAGTATGCACTCTACAAAACCCACTGTGAGAGATCTCTGATGGTATTAAGCTGCAGAGAGAGTTCAGGGGCTGAGGGAACCTCGCTGTGGCAAATAACCCCGAATGTTGCTGTGGGTAATGCTTTCCCCCTCAAGTCATTGTGCTGTTTTGGGAAATAGTGCCATTAAAGTCATCACTGTCTACCATGTGGAAAGAACACGGAGATGTGGGAGCCGCAGAAAGACCGCTCTGACCTTGATGGAGCTCATTAGCATAAAGCAGCCCTTTGGGTCCTGCATGATGGTGCAAGAAGCGTGTGTATATTTGTGTGTGTATTTACGCGAGTGTGTCAAATGTAGTCAGCTCCGCAGGCTGCTCTCATAACCTTGTGGTATACAAGCCTTAGAAATTTTGAAGAGGATGATATGACTTTCCTGTTTCCTGCTTTCTGTATCTACTCTAGTCTGTAATAGAGAAAAAGACATTATATACTGTATACACGGCTGTATGAAGCAGCATCTGAGCGCAGAAACGACACAGAAACACTTCAGTCTGCAGAATTAACTCTGAGCTCTTGAGTGTCGTTTGGTTTCCAGTGAAAATGAGCAGCTGATTTTGGCATTTAAAGCAGTTTTATCGATTTTTTTTTTTTGGGTCCACTTGACAAACATTAACCTCTTAATATTCACACTTTCAGCAGAAACATCACATCTGCATTATTCAAGAGACATAATTCTATCTATCTGACAAATTTAAGTCAAAAAGGTGCTCAACAACTTATAATGAGACCACTAAATTCTCTGCTTGTTGACTGGTTAACCTCCACCTTTGCTGGATGATGGATGAGGAGGGAGCGTTAGATTGATCCTACCTTGTCTTGATGAAATAAGCACTCTCTCGCTGATAGGATTGACTCACCCCTGAAAAAGGGGAGAAATAATTACGGGAGCAATTTACCGGTGACTTCTTATCAGGAGCATTTAGCAGAATGAATAAACACCTTTAGAAAATGTACAACATTAACAATGTGAACAGGTGAAGGGTCAGAGGTATGAAGTGCACGCTTCAAAGACTGATCTTAAATGTTTGTGGAAGTTCAGAGTTAATGCTGTGTTAGTGCCCTTACAAATGTGAAGCACCACCATAATAAAGTCTTATTTTTATGCAGATTTTGTGCGTTCTGATTTGCATTGTTTGTGCATTTGAAACATTTTTGCAGTTTATGCATTTGTTTCAGACTGACGGCCAGGCCCACATGCACAGAGAGGTTGTAGCAGCATATACACACTCACAAACACCATAACCACATTTTCAGTTACTCTGAGTTAACACACATAACACACATAGTTTGTCTTGTTTAAAACTGTTTAGTTTACATTTGTTTGTATTCATTCATTTCTCTTTTCTTTGAGTTACCTGGCTGCTCGGTGGCACTTCCTGCTTGCTGGGCAGATGAAAGGTGGGGCTGAGGGCGGAGCAGGGCTTTAAACTGAAGCCCCGCCCACCGACCAGACCAAGAAGCCCTGCATCATGGGGGGGATTGGCGTTTTACTGTGTTAGTTGGAGTTATTGTGTATGTAACTTCCCCCCCCCTGTGTGTTAACTTTGGTCTGATCAACCAGGATATATTTTGCCTTAGTGTCTCATTTAGGGAGGTCTGTTAGTTGAGTTGATGTCTACTTTTTTTAGCCATATTTTCAGTGGAGATATGTTCTGTTGACCTCTTTTAAGAGCCTTATAACTTTGAATTCATTATCTTCTTTTTGGAGGAAAACAGCCTTTTTTTTCTCACTTTAAACTTGTGTTTTGTGCTCGACTGCCTGGTCCACAACACAGACTGTTGCATGTGTTCTCAGGTCTCCATCTACAGCACTGTCCTCCAACTGGAGATCGTTCGCTCTCGTCAGCCACCGTTTAATATCCATGATTCGTTTTTTACCAGTATAACAGATCATGAACCACTGATCCATTTTAAGGTGCCAGTTCATTGCATTTTAACTCGTCACATTATGTAAGTGGCGTAACAACCAAGCGGCGACCTTGCAGCTTGCAGAGGCCCCAAACACACTCATTCAAAATGCTAATCTCAGTAATGAAAACCATGTTTACAGCCCGGCTCTAAAGATGAATCTGAATCTCAGTTTACAAAAAGCCGTTTAATTGAACTTTGCTCTGCGTGATGAACTGGTTTGTCTGTGTTGTTTTGCTGCTTTTGCCAAACCTTCTAATACAGTTTGAACAGCTTCTCATAAACATTAGGCAGTTCGGACAAACACATCATGAACTCTGTAAACTGATTCTTTATATGACCACCTTATCACATGCATGTATACATATATACATTAGTTACGAAAACACATGAACAGTTTTGTGTACGATTTTATTTAGTTATCTTACCTGCAAAGGAAGAAATAGAAAGAAAGAAAGATAGACACGCTGTTGCTAGCTTTCATTCCACAATTTAATGAAGAGCAACATGCTCCCCCTGTTGGCTAAAACCAGAAGTGTCTGACACGATCAAAACGAGTGATTACCAATATAAACTTTACTACTTAACATACTTTAAAGATGAACTTAAACTGTGAAGACAAACTCTTTTTCTATTCATACCGTTGTTACTGTTTTTGACATTGTTCAATCTCACTCATATCCTTTACACAAACACATTATTGCAGCTTTAGACAAACTGTTAAAATTCAGGCGGCATTTTTACCACATAATATTTAATATAAGTTTACTTCCAATGCTGTGATGACTCATACTTTATTACTTTGCAATTTGTTTATTTCTATAAGCTCCAGGCTAAAATTACAAAAAAAAAAAAAACAGCTTGTTTTTTTGTGGTGAGTTTTCTCATATTTGTGATGCTGTTTCTCCCGGTGATGCAGGATCCGTCCCGGATGAAGTCAGAACTTGCTCGGTTGTGAATGTGTGATGCAGTGAGTTTGTTGGTGTTGATGTTTGCATCAGGGAAGAGTAACCGATCGTACAGGAGACTTATTAATAATTCGAGCAGATGCTTCGAACTTCGCAGCACAGAGTTGTGAGGGAATAAAACCTCCTAGCACATCAGACTTGCATGCCAAGGTTCTGTGCAGAGGAAGCCAAGTTCTATTAATGCTGATGTAACTTCTCCTGGTCTCGGACAGGTCAGAGAGTATTTTGTGGTTGGTTGACCCTGGACTTCACTTTGGCTCTATTTATAGACCTATTAAAAGCTGGAGAAACTTCATGTTTGAAGAACATCCATTTTACAAGCTGCAGAGTCCTCCTCGGGTTCGATTATTTTCCGTGCAGACAACTTTTTGTGCTCCGTCTTATTAAATGTAATCCCACGAAACAAATCAAACTTGCTTTTTTATTCGTTTTCCAATCACAGCCCAAAGGCAAATGCAAACTTTATTGGTTTGCAGCAGTTATTTTGACCCCTGGAGCGCTTTTTTTCGAACGTATTAACCGGACCTGACCAGAGATCTTTTGGAGGGTTTTAGCTTTTTGCAGGATTTCTAAACCTGTCTGGATCTTTGTCTGCAGGGATGGTGCAATCAGACTAAAGGAGGATAAAGTCACAGATGAATATCAAACTGATCTCTTATGGTCCATTTAGAGGAGAAAAGTTTTAGCTATTTGCAACAGGTACGCCACGCAACCGTCAAATATTTATGGTATAACTTCAATTTCTACGCACACACACAGATGCATGCACACACTCGCTCCTTTACCACCTCTGAGCTGCCTATAGAGCTCTGTCTTGGAGGCAGAGCAGCGCTGGGCCTAATTGTGTCTTGGAGCTACAGTGCAGCTCTTCTCTGGAGATCTCATTATAAGATCCACAAGCTGTTCAGGCACGTACCCGCGCTTTTCACTCGCTCATCCCATCAGCCCCGTACATCATAACCGCCTGAAATCTCCATCGCCCCGTCTACGGTATCGACAGGGTGGAACAATTATTGTTGATTAGGAAATTGCACCGTGCACCTAAAGAGAAAGGCATGAAGAAAAACAGATAAACTGCCCTGCGAGGTGTTTGACCTCTCCATTAGCCGTCAATAGTGAGCTTCTTGTTAAAAGCTCTGAGCAGCGTGGGTTTCAACGTCTTCACGAAGTTTGGACCGTCTGACGGCGGATCCGGCTGATGAGGTGCCCAAAGCAGGACTATTTTCAGGAAGCTGCTCCGGCGCCGAGCTCTCAGATTGTTTTCGCTCTTTCACCCCTCACGGTTTTCTCTCTCACAGGTACATCTGCTCCACACTTCCACTGAATAATTTATTATATTCAAGGATCATCAAGTGAAAACACACTCCATCACTCCACACTCTTTGTCTTCATCTGCCATGAGCTGTTGCCTCATACGACCTCTGATCATCAGACGCTGTCAAACCAAAACATCGATATATGAGCGTCGTTTTTCTCCTCATCATTATATTTGTTTTTTTGGCATGCTCAGCTGTACTCTGGTTTTTGTGTACTTGCAAGATTAACATAATTACAGGCTAGTAAAACCTCCCCCCCTTTTTTCACTACATAATAACATTTAATGATGGCAAAAATAAAAAAGTACCACTTTGGGTCCAGAAAAAAAAACTACTGCAAAGGCCAAGAGTTTGAAATAAGAGCTTGGGGAACAGGACTTATTTTAACAAGGCGTACTTTTTTCTTGTTTTATGAGAGCTTTAATGATGGAAAGCGACTGACAATGAAGTGAAGAGATTTGATTGGTAAAACTTGGAGGAAACAAAGATGAACAGCTTACCTAACTCTCCTCGTGATTAAAATTGAGCACAATCCTCTGGGTAAAATTCCCAAATTCCAAAACGAAACACCTTTCTCCATATTTCTTACTGATAAACAGATAACACGAGTGTACAGGTTGCAGCCCACCATTTAGATGATCAAAAATAAAAGTACTCAAAGTGCATCTTGTACATTAAATTCTGCAATAACAGAAGGGCTGCATGATTTTGGCCAAAAGTAGAATCCAGATTTTTTTTCTCTGAAAACTCAATTTTCAATTTCTTATTTGATGACAACTTCACCAAACTTCACTTTAAAATTAATTTTTTCTATCGTTTCTCAAAACGAAACCACTGAAAACGATGTAGTGCTAACGCCAAGCCGGTAAGTGGCGCTGTAACGCTGCCGAGGAAATGCACAAAAGACAGAAGAAGAGTACAGAGCGCGTTTATAAAGGTTGTTTTGGTCAGACACACGCAGGCGCCATGAAAGTTTCGCTGTGAGTCACATGATCGTTTCAAGAGATGCAGATAGACATCCATGCGGAGATAAAATGGTCGTCATATACGGATTTATGCTCTCTCTGACCCGTTTTCAAAAAGCACCGTTTACAGTCACCCGAAACGCCATTTCCATGTGGATGAAATGCTGATACGACAAAAACTTTAGTGTTTACTCCTGAATTTGTCTTCATGTGGACGGGTTGATACCACCTTGCAGCGGCGCGTGGTTTACTCTTTATCCGAAACTGTGAAGTCGTACCAATTCCACCCGACTGACTTGCTCTTGTCCTATTTAGCCACAAAATTATCGCTTTCTTTTGCAACCGCCATGTTTGTTTACACTGGGAACTGAGGAGCGCTCCCGCATCAGGGGGAGCCTACGGTGGCCTGGAGGTGTGAGACATGATCGAAAGGAAAACTGATTTGAGGATTTAAATTTTTTTAACATCGTCATAATTAAATAATCGGATTACGATTTAAAACCGCTTAATCGTGCAGCCCTACTTATAACCTTCCTTAAACTGCATCCATGCATCCTTTACTTGCATCTCCTCCTGGAGTCGGAGTCCCTCCCACCAGAGATGCATGAAAATTAAGAGAGAAGAGATGGATGGAGAAAGTGACATGAGACGTCCTTTTTTCTGGAGCCTCACAAAGTGATGTCTTTTGATGACTGCATCAGCTGATCGGCGCTGGATCAGCTGTCAGTCAGCTTTGACAGCTGTTTGTGTCTGCACACACCTGCACATGAAAACAACCTGCAGTCTGTTTATTCTGTGTCCTACTTTAGACCATATGGACCATTTTACAGGTAAAATGTGCAGTTGTTGTGTCTCCAGATGCTGCAGCGTCCAATCAGTGAGGGATGAATGAAAAGGGGGCGTGTCTTTCAGTCAAAAGACTTCTGCAGAGGCTGATCTCCTGCATCTTTGGTTATCAATCCTGAACATGATGGGTCCATAACTGCTTCAGGTTCACTGGAGGACTGAGGAGAGCATCATCGTAGAGAACTAAGACGCACAGATTGATGGTTAAATTTATGTTGAACAGAGAAGTTGACACAACTACAAGAGGATTGAGAAATAATAACTTGGTTAAAGCTCGGTGAAGTCTTCTAGCTTCAATGATGGCACAGACTGAGAAGTGGTCACTGTTTTCTCGATTTTAATGACAGCAGTGTTGATAATCTGAAGGTTATTATGGCCAGAATTTGAGGTATGACCATTTTAGCAGGGGCGTCATATCACAGGTGGATGTTTATGACTCTTTCAAGGTCATAAGTACGTGTGCCTCTCTAAACTTAAACCCTGTCCCATCACTGCAGGGCACTTTGAAAATATAGTTTAATCTGAGTGCACTTTGCTTCCGTCTTTTATGCGTGTGTAAATTGCACGCAATAAAAAGTGCAAAAATATAACGGGATGAGAATGAACGCCGGTCTCAGGCTGTGAAATATTATCAAGAGGAATAATCATTTTTATCGGGAGGAAGGCTTGTAAACTGTGTGTGACATTAATTTGTGCAGAAATGACCCCCTCGCACACCCATAAAGTTTGGCTGTTATCCAGAGCTGAGGGAAATCGAGGTTTATTATAATAAGGCATGTTGATGGATTTGAGTTAATGCAGCGAAAAAGGTCATTTTGATTCCATTAGGTCCAAAATTAAAGATTCGTTTCCCGCTTTTTCTGTCCTTTGATTGATTTATTTGTGTTTCGCCACCAAAGATGATCTGCATTTCACACATTTTTAGAAGAAGGTTCTACTTTTCTGTCTGATACCATAAACAATTAACGCCGCGTTTGTTTTTCCTCAAACTTACCTCGTTAAAACTTTGGCGTATTCGCTTTTTTATCTCGCTATCTGTCCAGATCTTTGTGCTTTCTGACACAACAGTAATTGCCGACAGTTCCTCTGCGGATAAACAAACCTGCATTTCCTCTCTTGGCTCCCTCGCTGTTATGAATATATGTGCGCACAGTTTTTATTCCTCTGGGTCCGAGTATTAGCATGAGTTTGGCTCCACAATGGAAATACTGCCTTTTGCAACACTTCAATCAGATGCTGTTGAAAGCAAAGCCACATAGCAGCCCCCCTCTGCCCCTCATGCGGCCCCTCCTCTGCCTCGACCTGCAGCTGTCTGAATAATGAAGTCACCTCTTCCTCTTGGCTGCAGCCCAGGCGTAAAAACAGTATCACAATGAGAATGAATGAGGGTCCCCTGCTTGTTAGACGGATGTGGTGTCCTTGTCTATCCAACCCGCCTCCAGCTCCCTGTCACACACGTCTCACCCGCACCCCTCCCACCCTCCACCAGCCCATCACTCACTGTCCCCGTGTCATCCAATCTGAGGGAAAATGAAACCTTTGATGCAGACTAACCTTCCCTTTCACCTGCCGCGGCGGCGTTTGTCTGCTGCTTTCGTACGCACACACACACGCACAATTACACTCTACATGTGGCGCACACTAACTTTAATCCCCATCTTTAATCCATAAAGCAAACTTCAAATGATCATTCACCCAGAATGCACTCTTTGGGTATTAAACTGTCACTCATGCTTTGCTTCCTCACACAGATCAGAGGCATGGATTCAGAGACTTATTGGGACTTTTGTGTATGCGAGATGATCACAGCCTCAAGGCTCTGTAAACATACAAAGTACTGAATTTAAACCCTCAAAAGGCTGAGTTTTTTACACTTTTATATGTGAAATAAATCGACTCTCACTATACATTTAAATCGGAATATCAAGAGATTCTGTTTTTGGACAAGCAGTCGGACAAAACTCGTACTGTACCCGAGCCAAGACAGATTTTCGGCTCGTCCAAATGAGCATGCAAAGCGAACACACGGCTGGGCCAAACTTTAAAATTAGAATAATGGCATTCACACAAGTGTTTAGTTTTTACAGATCTGGCTGTCTCTACTTTGTGCGCAAAAGAGAAATGTGGCGTTAGCTCGCAGGATCCCTGTTCTTACATCGGTAATTAAGAAATCACAACACTGTTTATATAATGGGATGCAAATCAAGCAATCAGGCGGCTTCTATCTTAGTAAAAATCAAGATAACAGTTTCATATCTCTCCTTCTTTCACATCTGCATGCATGTGCTTACCTTTTAGACCTTTTGCTGGGGACGTGAACCATGAATTCACCACATTGTAGCACCGACTAGCTGTCAGCTACACTCAGAGTAATTGGTTTCAGTTTGGTAGTCAGCAGGAACAAAAGCTGAGGAAGAAGAAGAGAAGAGTGAAGAGAGTGATGATAGTCTGAGGAAATCAACTGTGAGGAAATGAGTTTCATCTGTAATTATCCGTATGAATCAGTGCTTCTAGTCCAGGTCCTGAATCCCAAACTGCAGCCTGCTCTGTCCTTGGTCATTGGCCTTACCTGGAAATCCTGCAGACCTGTGAAGCTAGTTAGTTCCAGTTTAGTAGTCAGCAGGTTTGATGATGACTCCTCCATCTTCATCTCCTAATCTGCATCTTTGATGGGAGGGATTTGGAGGTAAATGGACTTTAAGTTAAAGGTGGGGTCAGCAGGAATCCATTCAAGAAGCATCTTTTTTTTGTGGTGTTTATACAAAAAAGCTTTCAGTATCAGTCAATAGCTGTTAGTTATTGATGACATTTGGGAATATCACGATATCGCTGTGTTCTCTTATGTCTGTGTAGTCAACATTTTAAAATTTCAGAGCGGTCCGCTCTTTCTGACTGTAAACAAAGCCGTTCTCCACCTCCCCCATCCTGATTGGTTATGAGGCAGACGCTGCTCCCCCGTGTCGTTCAGGAGACCAAACAAAGTTAGCGTGCTACAATATCGGACAGTAGAAACCAACCAGAAAGTTCGGAAAATTGTCTGAATCCTCCTTTGGCCACGACTGCCGACACAAGCAAGAAAACAAAGTAAATACCGGAGACACTGGAGGAATAACTGGCGCTTAAAACTGAGGTAGACCGGACAAGAGCTAAAAAACCGGGTCAACATAAACGATGGGGGACGCTTGGGGATCTTGGTGACCCCCTAACCTTTCTGCTGGACAGGTAAACCGCTTTAACAAAGTAAGACAAGTGTCTGTAACAGAAGTGTTTCTTGTCAAACGGACCTGCTGTAGCGTGTTGTAGCGCCATCGCTAAACTGTCCTCCCTCGGGTCCTGGACTATGTCACTTTATCCTAGTTGTAGAAGTCCTGCAAACATTGTGTTTGCTGGTAGTCTGTTGGCATCTACAGTAGCACCAATATTTTTTACTTTCACGTTGACTGGGCCCCATTTGTAATTATCTGAAGTAATTATCTGCATTATATCTGAATTTAATTGAAACGATACGAGTGAGCAGGAGCGTCTGTTTATGGGCGGGGCTTGAGGGGAGAGGAGGAGCTGAGGGTTGGGAGGGGTATAGTTTACATTCAAGATTGCTCCCCAAAACTGGAACTTCCTCAGATCCTGACTACTCCACCTTTAATCTGGACTTTAGCCCAATCATTGGATGACATATTTTTGGAAAAAATGATTGTCCCTCAACACCATCTACAGGACTTTAACTCACCTACTGCAGAGGGGAGTTGGTGCTCAGAGACTGTAGGAGCATCTGCTGCTTCAGCGCTTACCTAAAGTGCTGGTGTTAACGATAAACTTGCTCTTTAAAGGTTATGATGTCCGACTAGATTAAACTCAAAATCCCAAAACACTGGAGAAACAAAAAAAAGGAAAAAAAAAAGAGGACTACAGCTGAGACAGAAACTGAGACAGAAGGGGAGGAAACACCGGCTTATTAGAGGTCTAATCAAACACAGGTGGGACAAAGAAGACACAGGTAAAACTGATCAGGACTGATCACACAGAGGAGGGGACAGATTGATCGGATAGATTTTTATATTGTAAATTTGAATGCCTGAAAGCGGTGCGAGGGGACAGGTGAATAAACCGCCCTGCTTTACAAGTTTCCACATGTCCACTCCCCACAAAACAAAGTCAGGTATTTCCACAGAAACAGAGAAGTAAACACACTTCAGTCACATTCAATATGTGCTTCTTAGCCTCTCCACTCTGTACTTACTTGTAGCCTTGAGAGTTTACTCAGCAGGTGAGTCTGAGTGGCACCGAGCTGACCCTGCTGAAATCATACTTTCTTTCAGATGAGCTCACATTTTCCAGCAGAGGTTGAGTCCAGGGGAACCCATATTGCTAGCATAATAATTTCCCGGTTCAGACTATTTCCTGACATTGAGGCCGTGAGACATTGCCCTGGCGGCGTGTTTGTAAACCTTGCCGGGAACCAGAATAAGATATTACCTTGTGGGGGCAGAAGCTGTCTTGGTTTAGAGGACACACAGATGATTCATTGCTTATGTGAAATGATTAGAGGCAAAGAAGCATGACATGAAGGCAAGTGCAGGCAATCTCTCAAAGTAAACCAGCTGGAAACCAAATTAAAAAGAGCCTTTGGAACATGCCGGCTGGATGGCACGGCTAACCAAAGCAAAAAGAACTTTTTCATTTCCTATTGCATCCTGAAATTCTCTATTTGGGCTTTAGGATCGTGGGGGAATAGATTGGACACATGAGGAAGAGTCTTACGAAAGCAACAAATCAGTGCTTTCAGGTCGGACAGCACTTCTCGAGCTTACATTCTGCTGAGTGATGTCTCTGTTAGAGAAGAAGTCGGCAGTCAGCCAACTTGCTCTCACTCAAAAATGCAATAATATTAATACATAAAAAGCACAACATAGTCAAAAACCTAAAGCCTGTGCTTACTAACCGGCATAAATGAACCAAACAGACAGTCTGAATCAGCAATCATCACCAAGCTGCGCTGCAGAGCAAATAGCTTCAATGTTTGCAGGTGTTGTTTGTTTACGTTTTGATAAGCTATTAAGCATTAATTGGGGTGAAGTATGCACCCCTCTATGCAAATAAGCCACATTGCAAAACAGTGAGAGAGAAGTTTTACCTCCATACTGAGAACTTTCCACCAATCATGAAACAGTCCCATCCGTCCATTTTCTTCTGCCTCTCCAAAGCGAAGGCGTACGTCTGAACAAACTGACCCAGACATCCCTCTCCTTAGCAATGTTTTCTCACTCCGACCGGGGATTCCTAAACCGTTCCCAGACCAGATGGGATATATAATCCCTCCAGCGAGCTCTGGTCTACCCCGAGGCCTCCTCCGAGCTAGACATGCTCTGAAAGCTTCTGAAGGGAGGCATCATGGAGGGACATTATCGATTGCCGAAGCACCTCAGCTGACTCCTCTCAGGGTGAAGGAGCGGCGGATCTACTCTGAGCCTCCTCTCGGCTGCTTGAGTCTGTGATCTCAATCTTCTGGTTGCTTTCCAGAGCTCATGACGGCAAATGAGGGTTGGGACCTGCAAACCAAAAGCTTCGACCTTCACACCGGTTCCCTAACTGCCGGTCGATCTCGGATTTATTGGCAGGTTTGTTGCAAAATCTTGTTGAGGAACATGCACAAAATGATCAAAATACTTCTCAGGAAAGTGGAAGAAAAAAGTGAGAGAGCAAATTTAGTTTTAAAAGTTACCCTCAGTGCAACAAAATCAAGGCTGAGCGAAAAGCCCAAAGCATGAATATTATGGATATTGCTGTTATTATATTAGTCAGGGAATGAATCAGTCTGGGGATGTCCAGAGCTCAGCTGCTGCACAGCCAGTCTGTCTGCCTGCCTGTTTTTCATGCTTTGTTCTTAACTGTCTCTGCTTTCTACGACCAGATACAGACAAATGCATCAACTCTACATGCTTTCATAACAACACGAATAGAAGATGGTTTATCAGCTGCAGTAATAGGACCAGCGTTTCATAAAGTGGATTAGACGTTTTCTTCTCTGTAGGCCTGTTATTATTTCTAATGTCATTGTAAACAGAGACTCCAGACTGCTGGGCTGTGATGAACCATAAAACTGTAAAGGACAATGTTGTTTTCACTATAATCCATCACAGCACGCCCCTATCAGTCACCATTCTCCCAGCTCCCAGTTTCACACAGGGTTATTTTCAAACAATATTTAAATATCAATCTTTGAAAAAGAACACGGGCTAACGTTAGTTGGATATTTAAGTTGACCCATGGTCTACAGATCAATTCGTTTACCGCTTCAATGTTAGCAGAAGACAGACGTAATTTATTGTTTTACTTATCTGATTCTGAATGGTTGGAGGAACACCGGCGCAATGCGTTAAAGACGGGGAACTCAGTTACTTCTACTCCATGAGTCCGGAAGTGTTTTAATCGTGTTGGTCGGCGTCCTCCTTTGGCAGAAATTGTTTTTTTTTTCGCAGATGTTCCACTGAAGTTAAAATAAAGCCAGACTTTCGAGCATTTTTTGCAGTCCATGTTCAGACGAGGAATGTTGTTGCTTGCCGACGCACAGATAACGCAGAGCGAAATAATGCGGCGTTCGCCTCGACTCGGCAGTCAGAAGTTGGAGCTGAAAATAACGTCACACCCAAGTTACCAGTGTTTCAGTTACAAAGTCGGAAAAAAGCAAAATCGGAGGCGGAAACAAGATGGCTACATCTACGAAAGTTATCTTAGCACTTGCCTTATATTCGGACGAGGCAAGCGCTCACCTTGTTTGAAAATAAGGCAAGTGCCATCTTGTTTCCACCTCTGATTTTGTTTCCGCCTCTGAACAAGGACAAGGCAAGCGTTTAAATAACTTTTATTTTTTGGAGAAATATTATAAGGATTGTTGATCATCTGTACGACTCATCTTTTCTCTTACTTGGTATTTATTTTCTTTGTGTTTGTTTGTTTTTGTTTTTTGTTTGTCTTGTTGATGTTTGCTTTAGTTTGTTTTTTGGGTGTAAAATGTCAATGGTAAATTTAAAAAAATAACATAAAAATAATAACGCTGATAACTCTGATGTGACGTCATTTTCCGCTCTGACATCTGACTTCCGAGATAACTCGAATGCAGCATAATACACGCCCCGAAAACAAACTAGTGCCAAAAAAAGATTCGAAATTTAAAAAATCTGCTTAATGATTCTGTAACCAGGTATTACCAGGTATTCAGTCCTCCTCTTCGAGTTAGCATTGAGGAAAATTAAAAACATCATTCAAGCTACTTCTCCATTATCGTCCTTTTACCGACACTGTTCCTGTCTTCCTGAAACAGATGTCTCTTGCGCAGGTTTTGTTTGGCATTCATGTAAAATATAACAATGTGAATCAAATAATGTCAACGTCTTTTTTGTGCAGAGTTTCTTTTAACTCGGTCTCGGTGCTTTTGTTTAATTTGCTGTCACCACAAAACACGACAAACTCTTAAGACTGCTTCTAAATTCAGAGCTTGTAAGGCAGAAAATGTCAAAGTAGTTATTAAACTTCATATAATGGCTGTCAGTACAAGTAATGTGTTACATAAAAGAAGACGACTGTGGGCGTCCTTCAACCGAGTTTGATATTTAAGTTAAAAAGGTGTCAAAAGAAACTTTCGGTGACTTTGACACTTTTTTGGCCTGACTTAAAGAGAAGAAGTTTTCTTTCTGGGAGAGTTTTCAGGTTCTGTCTGCAGACCTGTTAGTGGGCGGGCTGGAACAGTCACAGTACATGAGGCCACGGACCCGACAGAGGCTGAGGTGGATGTTCGTGCAAGCTAAACAAAAGGCAGGCTATTATACTGGTGCTGACTTCCCAACTGTGTAAAAGACGTTTTTATGTAACTCACCAAAAGGCTCTAAACTGTGTCTAATAACAGCAGAGGAGGCGATAAAGTGGCGCATCATAAAAATGATTTATTATCCTAATTGTTATCAGAGGACAGATATCAATTTCTCACTTTTTACAATATATTACTATCATTAGACTGATTTATACATTGTTTTATATATTAATACTTCTCAAATAATTTGTACATGCTTCTGGGACTGACATTCCCTGGTCAGATAAGCAGAAAAATGAGAAAAAAGGCACATGATTGCTCCTGTCCACAGCGAGCAATACAGTCCAAAGAAACAAAGAACTGTTGGTCTGTGTGAGCGCAGGTGAGATCTCTCCCCCGTCAGATGATGGGCAGCCCTCGCTGAAGATTATCACAAGTCTTCCCAGGGCGGCACAATATGTCCAGAACAATTGTTCCAAATCACAGCCCAAAGTAATCACTCTGATGTAGCTTTTGACAGCAATCATATCTTTTGATTTGCTCAAGTGCACTCTGAAAAACAAAACACTCGCTCGCTCTCTTTCACTCTCGCTCACGCACACTCTCTTTCTCATCTTCAGAGATCAGAGTTTTACAGTAAAAACAAAAGAATTAAGAGGATCTTAAACCGCCCTCGGGGCTGCGCTCACGTTTCTTCTTCTTTCTTTTTTTTGTACATGAGGCTGAGCGTCAGAGATGTCTCTCATTTCATACGCAGCAGCTCGCTTTATGGTCTCTGTGAACGCACACACACGAGTTGATCTTATTCAGCATTAGAAATCTCTGTGGCCTGAGGGGGAGCTCAGTGTACGCTGCAGTCTGGAGTGTGAAAACCACACACTGACACTAGCAGTCCACAGTTTCAGATCCAAGTGTGGCTCGAAACTCTGCCCAAAAATGTCTCTGAGGTTCTTCTCTGGCTTCAGTGCCTCGGATGCTTAATCCAGTTTCGTATCATCCACTTTTGACCCGAGCACCTCTGGACCACCAGGCGAAGGCCGAAGTTGGCGTCTTTGGACATTTCTACCTCCAAGCATCGACCCGTGTCCCGGCTGATAATTGGACCATTCTGCAGGGAAAACACATGAGGAAACAAACAATTTATTATAACCATGATGTATTAATGGCAAATAGATTGTTGATTAATCTAAGTAAATAGATACTTTACCATTAACAAGCAATGAAATTATGATTAATAATTTTCCTTAATTATTAATGGACTATTTATTAAAGGTTTAAATATTGGTTTTAAAACATCCAGATTAAAATGTGTGTCAGTAGCACTTTGTAAATGGTTAATATTTGGTTTTAAACCATCTATAAATATTACTTAGATGGTTATTGTAAAGTTAGGGTTAGGTTTTTTAAAACTGTAAAATTTACAATTTATTAATGGTCTGTATGCTTTTTATAAATGATGATTAACCATTAATAAACTATCTGCTTACCATTTATAAATGGTCTATTCACCACTTTTATAGCATGTTGATGATTTGCACAAACTCTAATGCAAAGCAGTCATTGTGTCTGTGCACCAGCATTGTTTGCATGTATCTGTATGATCTCTACTGTATTATGCATTTGGAAAAAAAAACACCTATGAGCCGTTTTGCCGAGAACACCTTGTTCAATAACACCAGTGCTAAAAGCCGAGAACAGATAGAGCATCAGCATCCTTGGATTTGATGGAATAATGTCTAAAACAAACTTTATTTTCTCCTTTATTACATATTACATCAGGCCATGTTTGTCTTTTTACCTGTGTGAAGTCCCAAAGTCTCTGGGAAATTCTGGAAACGGATTCACACTTTTTCAGCCGGGGCGTTCGTCCTCTGCCGTCGTCCACCAGGCATTTTGTGTCAGGCAGGAAGGTGGTCGACCCCAGAGGTCCCAGCTGGAGCAGCCCCTCGGTGGAGTAGCGGGCGAGCTGCGGCACAGAAACAGTAATGTAAGACCTGAGTCTGAACTCACTGGAGTTAATATGTGTCTCCCCACATTAAAAGATACTTGAGTGTTTTTTTATCATGGTGTCATTTTCAGAGCTATTCTCCTTTTGTGCAGCTCTGCGTGGAAACCACAGCGAGCAGCTCATTAATGCTACAACATTCCCCCAAACCAAAACTTGATCCCTCACTGTTTAATCCCGCACATGAAAGGCTCTGTCAGATAAGTATCTATTACGCAAGGATACAGTAGAGAAAGCATTTATTATTTATAGGCGTTATCCTCTCTGAAAAATGAGATACCAAAGATAGGGAGGTCTTTAGTATGACAGCAACCCTGCTTTGAGGAGGGGGGACACATTCCTCATGACCGTCCTGAATCACACACTCAGACACTCACACTGTCTCGTGTTAAAGAAGAGGCAGCTTTGTTATGTTATTCACAGATCTGGGAGAATCAACGTCGCAGAAAGCCTCTCATTCCAGACAGCTGAAAACGCTCTATTGATGCAAAAATATGCAACATCCTCTTCTGTCTGGTTTGTCATAAAATCTTTAAGGATAGATTTCTATTCAGCTTTCTTAAATGTTCTGAAAAAATCTTTACAAGTACATTTTTCTAACTCCAAACATGACAGTTTTACGTAAGCAGAACCCCCGTTAAAACAAAGAGCAACAAACTGTTAATGAGAAATGTTGAGACACAGGTAGTGTCAGTGAATGTTAGCTTTTAACAATCCCTCCGTGTTGATAAAACTTTGCAGAGTGAAGAAGTTTAAAGCGTAGATCCAGAGCCGCGGGAGGCCTGAGTAGGAGTTCTTTTATTAGAAGAGGGAAAGCAGGTGGTTTTTAATGCAATGTTCTGCCCCAAAGAGCCGCTCAGAACTAAGTGGAAAAAAACGAAGCACCACCTGCTGTGTCACTCAAAGTTCACTGGAGCTGGCTGTGCTGTGAGGATTATCACGATC